GGAACCGGATAGATCTACAAAGAGACTGAGAAATTCAGAGACACGCAGAGGGAAAGAGAGCGAATAGAGAGAGAGAGAGAGAGAGAGAGAGAGAGAGAGAGAGAGAGAGAGGGAGATAGAGAGAGAGAGAGAGAGAGAGAGAGAGAGAGAGAGAGAGAGAGAGAGAGAGAGAGAGAGAAAAAGAGAGAGAGAGAGGGACAGAGGTGAGTGGGCAAACGCACGCATACGAAAGAGGGATAAGGAGACAGGGGATGAGGAAGATAGCACTGGCAAATGAGCGGGGGGGAGGGCGAGCAATAGAGAAAGAAAGAGAAAGAGAAAGAGAGAGAGAGAGAGAGAGAGAGAAAGAGAGAGAGAGGGACAACGCACTGAGTGAGAGAGAGAGAGAGGGAGAAACAACGATAGCGATACACGAAGAAAAAGAGAGAGAGAGAGAGGGACGCATAAAGCGATGGAGAAGAGAACCAGAGAGGGCAGGAGGAAGAGGAGGGACAGGGAAAAATACATGGGGGCGAGGGGCAGAGAGGGAGAGGGAGAGGGAGAGACAAAGAGAGAAACAACAGCACAAAAAAACGAGAGAGAGAGAGAGAGAGAGAGAGAGAGAGAGAGAGAGAGAGAGGGGCGGGGAGAGATCTGAGAAGTGAGCAAGGGAAACGCGAAGGGAGCAGCAGAGCGCAAGCACGGCGACGACGCCGCCATTGCTTCCCCGCAACCCATGTCCCAAATTGCCTCATTCACTATTTTGTAGATTTTGCTGTTCCTCAGGGTCAGCAACTTCGCGTGGGACTGGGCCAGCGAGACGCGCTTCTCGATTGTCGGCAAGGCCTCAAGCCGCGCTGGCACCCGCCCAGCAAACGGCTGCCTGGGACCCGCAAGGGGCCGACGGCGGCGGCGCATTGACCCCCTCCCCACGCGCGCCCCCAAGCCCCCCCCCCCCCCCATCCCTCCCGCTGCCCTGGCCCGCTGCGCACGTCGCTCCCCAGACGCCGATGACAAAAACTCCGTGCTCAAAGAACGAAAGACCGGAAACGGGTGGCGAGTCCAATGGGAAGGGCGGTCCGTAAAAATGAACCCAGATCCAATGCGCGGAGCAGGTTTTCGAACAAATGCCAATGCCTGTTTGGGCTGGATCGCCTGGACCCAGGCCTACTCCACCCTGCCCCATTCCCCCTGCCCCGCCACGGACAAGGGTTGGGCTGCCATCTCTGCCATCGCTTCATCGCTAAATGAGCGAAGCGTGGGAGGCAGGGCCAGATGGCCCTTGCGCGCCCCCTTGGGTATAAAGTGGTGTTTAAGAATGGCATGCAGGAGATCTCCCTGGGCGTCTGCGGGGGCTCTGGGGCGAATGGCCCTGGGGTGCCTCTATCGGCTGTTTCGGGCCTCTGGGGCGTCTCCAAGGAGCATATTGCGAGCCGCTTCGGGCGACGGTGCGCGGGCGTGAAAAAAACGCAGATGAACGTGCAAGACGCCGGCAACCTCGCCCCCTGCAAAACATAATCGGCATTGCCAATGGCTGCGCGGAGCGCATGGTCCACATCAATTGCTGTTCTCTCTCATTGCTGTCGCGGAACATTGCTTTCAAGGGCGCAATCCCGCGGGCCGCAGGCGGGCCCTCTCGAGCTGCCTCGAGCCTACCATGTTTCCGAGCGATGCCACGCTCCCCCATGTCAGGCAGCCCCGCTGGGCGCCGCGTCTGATGGGCTGGCGGTCGCGCGCGAAGCGCTGAGCATTGAGGGCGACGGCAGCGGCGGGCAAACAGAGGTTAAGCGCCGCGCCTTGCGATCGGAACATTTCGGAACATGAGCTCTGGCGGAAACAACAGCAGGCGCGCGCGCTGCGAATGGTGCCCGCGCGAGGTGCGCGCCAGACCCTGCCCCCGCTAATTCTGACATGGCTTAGCGCTCGCCCAACGCAGTCGTCGGCGCGCGCCTGGGCTGCTTGGGCGAGCGAGAGAGACGCGCGCTCACTTATGAGCGGCGGGGAGAAGGAGGCCGCGCGGACGATCCCGCCCCGAAAAAGCGCTGCAGCATCCAATGCCTCGTCGACGCGGCTGCGCATCATCTCCTCGCCCGCCGTCCCCTTGATAGACTCCACCCACGCCTTCTCGAGCTTGATGCTGCGACCCCACGGCGCCAGCACGTGCCAGTGATCCACCATGATCTTCTGGAGGCTCTCAATGGTCCAGTCATCGCCGCACAGCTTCGCGACCCAATTCCCCCTCCCCCCCCCCCCCCATATCGGTGCCAAAGCACGGGGGCGATGCGATGACGTCGGAGACCGATGCGATGACGGCCGCGAGGCGCCCCCGAGATCCTTGCGCGGCGGAGGGGGGGGCGCGGGGGGAGGGGGGGGGGGGGGGGGCAGGAGATGCATGGGCACGACGCGCAGAAGGGATGGGGGGGGGAGACAGGTGCGCGCGCGGGGATAAGCTCGGGGGCGAACGCGAAGAGGAGAGGACGGGCAAAGAAGACAAGGAAGGTGTCAGGAGCAGGCGTGGGCTCTGCCTGGAACGGGATCCCTCGTCTCGACACGGATGAGCACTCGCGGGGGCGCCGATGGCTGCCGAAGCTGGAGGGATCTACAAGGAACTCCCTACATCTGCCGCGCTCTTGGGAGACTGACTGGCTCAGCTCCACCGCGGTCCTCGCGGGGCCCTCAATTGCAAATTGCTAGAGTGAGCTCAAGAAGCGGGCCCCCGCGCGTCTACCCCTGTGGTGCCAATGAAAAAAAAAACAAAATGAGTTGACAGATCCAGTCTGTCCAAGTTGCCTCAGACTGGCATGCTCGCACCATGTGGGGGAGATCAAGATGGGCCCCAGGTGCCGCGTGAAATATTGAAATGGTGCGAGACACGCGTGCTCGGCGCCCCCCCCCACTCCCCCCCCCTCGCCCCTCCGACGCCCATGCGAGGGTCGGCGCTCGCGGAAGCGGTGGGCCCCTTCCGCAGTTGGGAAATGGACTGGGGCAAGAACCACGTTCACCCCTGGGAGGCGCGCCCCTTCGGGCGACCGCTGAACGCGGAAACAACCGACGAAAAAAAGGCGGGAGACCCCCCCGAGTGGTCCATCCGCGCCAGCAACGGCGAACCCTGAACTGAATGAGCAACCCAATGATCAAATACGCCTCGCGCCACTAACAAGGGGCACACTCGCCAAAACGGCGCCGCCGCTTCGATGCCCCCCCCAGCCCCTTCCGAGCTTTCTTCATGCCCGACACGAACGTCTCCTCGATCTCCTTGTCGTCGACATGCCCGCTCGCCTGCCCGCCCGAGAACCGCTGGAGGGAGTTCGAAGCAAGCAGCGGAGACGAGTCGAAACAACCTTCCAAATGACGGGCCCCTCTCCCCCGACACAAGAATGCACTAGTCAAGGGCAGCAGCGCGCGCATAGCACAATCGCATCGCGCGTCAGCGCCCACAGATCCCCAACAAAAACAAAGCATGCACCCTGCAACCAACTCAAAGCCCCACTCACTGACCACTAACAACCTTGCCAATGCGCACCCTGCAACCAGCAGGCCACCCAACCCCTGCTGGCCCGCGCCCCGAAAAGGTCGGACTCCATGACGAAAGCCGGCAGAGCGGGCCCGCCCAAGCTGCGCGAGCCTGGGCGGGCCCATGGCCGCTGCCATGAACCGCGGGGCCCCCGCCTGCTCCGCGCGGGCGCGCGCCGCGGCTGCTTCGAGGCCCCGCCCGCGCCCCCGCGGCCCCTCTTCCGTCCAAGAGGCGACTTCGACGTCCACCATGAGAGTCCTCAGCAGGATGCTGCAGACCCGCTTGCCCTCCAAGACCTTGTCCGTTCCGTCCTTCACAGCGTCCTCCCGCCCTTCCCACGCCCATGGGCTAGAGGAGCAGCGAATAAGGGAGAGGGGCGAGAAGGGGGCTGCCAGCGAGTTGGCGAGGGGGCTTCGACGACAGACGACGGGCGCCAGCCGACGCGCAGGAGGCGCCGAAGACGGCGGCGACAAGGACCTCGGCAAAAAAACTGGATGACTGCGACGACAGACGACGAAGGACGGCGAGCGGCGACACCCACAAGTCTGAAAGGCAACGGAAGCGCGATACAGCGCAGACGACAATCATTCAACAACCCACTCTCTGCGACCCCATATAGCGCTACCCTTCCCCGAAGACCCCTTAAACGCCTCCTAGTTTATCCCGCGCCACGTCCCCTCCCGAACCTCCGCATCGATCCACTGCGTCATTCCGTCCCTCGCCCATTCCTGCGGGCCCCTCTTTCCCCCGCGCGTCGGCGCGCTGCGGAAACGCGGCATCGGGACCTCAGCCCCCCCCCCCCCCCCCATACACGCATCAATACCACCACCACGCAAGCGCGCATACACACACACAGACACACACACACACACACACACACACACACGCGCGCACGCACACACACAGACACACACACACAGACACACACAAACACACACACACACAAAAAAAAGCACATT